CCTCGGTAAGTCGCGATTCGGCTAAGTCGTGGGTACTTGGATGGCTCCCAAAATTTCTATTGTGTTTTGACAGCAGTTTTGAAGTACAAAGACTAATGTTGTTAACTAACCGTTAAAGAGACAACTTAACACCTACTGTCCGTCAATTGCTGAGACGCAATGAGCAACAGTGGCCTTACTCAAGGTGTCAACAGGAGTGTCGAGTAGTGACCGTACGTACTTCTCGGCCGGTCCCATTTTGGTATACCTCTAAAAAACTTGCTACAATGAGTTGAATTCATTATCTGATTTCTATTTCTCAATTGAGCAGCATGTCAAAGCGAAAGCTATCAAGCCTGTTCGTACACCATAAACTCACAGCGATCGACCGTGTCAAGAAGAGGTGAAACCAAGTTAAGGGTTGCACGTGATCTAGCAGTGGTTGAGCCCAATATTCGTAGGTGGGTAAAAATACAAGTAAATTTGTTTTCAAAGTTGACTGAGAGATGGGACTGAACAAAAAAACATGCGAAATTGTCCGACAAGAATGGTCTGCCGGAACTCTACTCTCTGGTCCCATCACCCAATGCAAAGCACACAACTCAGATATGACGACTTTGAATTTGAGGCCAGTTCAGGGTGGTTTTTGCGATGGCAAAGAATACACACTATACACGCAGTCTCAATCTAAGGCGAAGCTCGATCTGCGAACATGGACGCTGTCAGAACTTTTCCCGAAAAAAATGCTTGATTTTTCAGTACAAAATGGCCACTATTCGACCATCTTGAATCAGATCGGGAAACAAATTGATGTGCATATGTATAATATTATATATGATGTATGTTTGAATGTAATCAGTCCAGGCATGTCTAAGATATAGGTCCGGACGCATGCACAGATGCACAGACACATGGACGCATGGACACGCAGAGGTCAAACCATAAGTCCCTGTTTTCGGACTGCGTCCGAACAGGGACTAATAAAATATTTCACAGTACACATACAGTATAATGGCAACTTACACATCCTGTAAAGAGACAGCTGAATCGCTAATACGGCCAGTGCCACCCCAGTGACCAGTAGTGACAGACTCTCGGATGTCTTCAAGTTCTAACATTACTTGATCAAGTCTGAAAAATATAGAAATAAATGATAAAAAAAATGATTATGGTTCAATTCTAGACAGTAATTCACTACTGAACAAGCCATTAATAAGAATGTCACTTCCCTTTGTCTTATTGTATCTATATGAATAATGTATGGTCTTTATTTATATATGTTTTTTTTTTTGTACAAAACCTGTCAGTCTATTTTTAAGATCTATACAGTGAGCAAGTCAGCCATTGTATATAGGACCATGACATTAATATAAAGATGTGTGTAACAATATATTGTGTTTGTATACTAACAATATAGCTGGAGAATATGCATTTGAGATGCAAGCAGAATATCTAACATCTAAATGGCTGCCAAAATAGAACTCAATTCATAAGCCCCTAGAACAATCGATTCATAGAACAACAGACATGCACTGGACTGTCCTTGTATTGAAGTAGCAGGCAACGATTTTGAGACAAGTGCATAGTCTAGAATGGCAATACATGTGAAGAGCATTATTTTAATGTCAATAATAAAATAAATCCTTTTCATTTGGTACTTTTCTTTATTCTTATAACATCACAAGTCACATATAATGACATAATTTGGACATCTGAATAGTGTTCTACCTTGAAACTAAAAAAGAAAATTATACCTTTGACCAGTTTTCTGCATTCGAATTTCTGGGATCAAGTCAGTATTCTTTTGTTTCTTGATAAAGTAGTTATCCACTTGTTTTTTCTCAAAATTGTTGAGTTCCAAGACTTCATCCTCATCAAGTTTAAGTTCTGTTTGGAGAGAAGAAAAGCACTTTTACAACACTGATATATCAATTTACAATAAAAATAAAAATAAAGAATATTGAAAGTAATGAAGATATCTGTGAAGACAGTGCCCTCATCATCAAATGAGAATCAAATGTTGGGTGGCAAAGCCGATCAAGATGAATAAGAGTGCACCCTCTATTATGAGCGCAACACTTACTGAAATCTGTAGATGGGTTAGGAGATCCTCTACATCGACTAACAATGTACCAATAAAGTCTCCAGATATGGTTGAAAAATATCAGTGGTGGCACTAGTGTTGGTCTGTCAAAATATTCATAAATCAACTCATATCGATAAAATCTCCAAATGGTCTCAGATTTATCATTTACTTTCTGGAATATGTAACTGTGACAGGAGAGATAAAAAACAATATAATAAATAAATTGGTACAATAATATCCCAACTTCCAATATACTATTTGGTGTGTCTGCAACTAGATATATCATCTTTTACAACTACCGGTATGCAGAATTGTAATTGCAATATTAGATATATATATATACCAAGTTTAGCAGCAATCTTAACTTGTTCAAGGGATGTGACAATCATAATGTGAATAAGTTAGCGATGTACATAACACAAAATATGCAATCCTCACCTGAACATAGCAATGAGTAGATTAAGCAATAGCACATTGGATAACAGCATGTACACCCCTGTGAAAAATGGTACAACCCATCCGAAAATCATCTTGCATTGGTGGACAGTGACCATTCAAGCGAGGTTCAGCTTGACATGTCTCATTATCAAGGCGACCTGCAAAAAAAAAACATGCAAATGTGAATATTTTGTAAATCTATTATGTTTTCATGAATATCATGAAACAGTGATCCAAAATCAAGTCAATTTTGCACTTGGGTACTCAAGACAGGAAGGTGGTAGCTTTGTGTAGATTTCATACTTGTGACCTTCATCAATTTATCAACAATTTTGGTTTTAATAATCTGATACAAATAATTATTTCCCATTGCTCTATTGGTAGTGCATGTGTTTATGTAAATAACATAGGTAGTACTTGTGATCAAAAAATAAATCACATTTTAATACCATTATTATGGCATACAAGCACAACACTAAAAACAATAACAGACACTCACCTTCAATTTCCTCTAAGAAAAGTTCACCATACATCTGCCAGTATGGTTTGTAGATTACTTTAGGAATTAACATGAGTGATGGTTCATGGTTGGGATATAATAAAGCCTCACATGCCACACCAAATGCCATCATGAAAACTATCAATATTATAACAAAGAACAACATGTCTTGCAACTATAATGAGGAAAGAAAACAGAAAATGGGAGTGAGTGTTAGAGTTAGGGTTAGGGATGGGGGGGGGGGGGGTACAAAAGGAACTCTTGCCCTGTAATTGAAGCATATTAAGTAAATGAAAAGTTGTATGTATTGTAGACTTATTCTGATCATATACATACTTCTTTCATTTATACACCAGATGTGCATGAACTACTAATAGAGCAAATAATCTGTGCTTTATACATGGTGTCAATGTCAATGTAGGAATTATCAATCTGTGCTTTATACATGGTGTCAATGTCAATGTAAGAATTATCAATCTGTGCTTTATACATGGTGTCAATGTCAATGTAGGAATTATCAATCTGTGCTTTATACATGGTGTCAATGTCAATGTAAGAATTATCAATCTGTGCTTTATACATGGTGTCAATGTCAATGTAGGAATTATCAATCTGTGCTTTATACATGGTGTCAATGTCAATGTAGGAATTATCAATCTGTGCTTTATACATGGTGTCAATGTCAATGTAAGAATTATCAATCTGTGCTTTATACATGGTGTCAATGTCAATGTAGGAATTATCAATCTGTGCTTTATACATGGTGTCAATGTCAATGTAGGAATTATCAATCTGTGCTTTATACATGGTGTCAATGTCAATGTAGGAATTATCAATCTGTGCTTTATACATGGTGTCAATGTCAATGT